CACAGGAGACATAAGCAGGAGCAGGTTCATTAATGCAAAGTAAAAGCAAGGAACAGTACACCCTTCAGTGGGGAGAGCAGGCAGGCTTTAAATGGAACACAGCATTGAGTGGTCCTAGGACCTTAAACCTTCATTGGGGCCTATGGACATCCATGTGGTTAGCTCTGGAAAACTAGGTTATGTGTCATTAACTGTCAGAGACTGGGTTATATATCACTAATTCCTACCACATAATGGGAATAAATGTTTGTGGCCTTAGATGATCACAATGGGACTTTCATTTTCCAAGGTACTTGGGTTTTCAGGTCATCAAAACACTTCTGTATGTAAGTCATTCCATTAACATTACCAGTGTAAGATATAAGTCTTTATCAATTTCTAAGCTATCATTCTTGGTCATCAGATTTAGCTATGACTCTGAGCTGCCAGGTTTCCTACCTCCCTTCCTCACTCCTATAGCAATATTTCCATACATACATATAAAGTACTTCAATCATTTTCATCCTTCTGTTACCATCTCTTATACCCTTACTCTCAGCCCCCTTTCCCTTTTTAATATAGAAACTAATAACTTTAGAATTCTTTTTGGAATTGTGTTTGTTGTGTTCCAAAGGTATTGGTAACTTGTATTTTCTTTTCATTTGATTCTGGTAATTTTTTTAATCTCTTCATTATCCACTGATCATTCAAAAGCATAGTTTGATCTATATATTTGTATAGTTTCTCTTGCTATTAGTTTTTAATTTCATTCCATTGTAGTCTGGTAAGAATCAAGAAACTATTTCAGTTTTTGTTTTTGTTTAATATTGCTTTAGGCCTAAAACATGGTCTACATTGGTGGAGCTGCTGGGAAGAATGGGTAAACTGCTGCTTTTATCAAGTGGAGTAACTTGTAGGTTCTGTTCCATCCATTTGATCTCTGGAGCAGTCTAAATCTAAAGTTTCATTGTGATGTTTCTTTGTATGATCAATCTACTGATGAGTACAGTATTGAAGTCAGACATTATTATTTTATCTGTTCCTTAATGCCCAATAGTGTTTATTTTAGGAAATTGGGTGCACCAAACTTGGTACATACATATTTACAGTTGCTGTATATTCTAGATGAAAATTTCCTTTTATTAATATATGTGACCCTCATTACCTTTTTTGTATAATTTGTGTATGCATAAAGTCTATTTTATCAGATACAAAAAGCAAACAGGAGTAGTTTTAAATCCTTTTTGTAAAGGAGATGATAACACATTTTCAGTCCATCAGATCACTGTCTTGGTAGACTGTCTTCCAAAACTGAGGCGAAACAGCTCAACAGTCATTTACTTTGTATTACAAATGTCTGCTTAGAATTGGTGAGAATGTTTATCTATCCTTACAAATAGTAATCCACTTAGAACCATAAAATAATACTGCAAGGTCACTACTGTTACTTTATTTAGTTGTTTTGGTTTGGTTTGGTTTGGTTTGGTTTGGGTTTTTTTCTTTTTTTTTGTGGTAGTGGGGATTAAACTCAAGGCCTCCAGCTTGCTAGTTAGGCACTCTGAGTTAAGCCACTCCACCAGCCCTCACTGTTATTATTACTTGTATCATATAGATAAGGAAACTGAGTCCTAAACAGGTTAAATGGCATCACATGCCATGTCCCAATGTAACAAGTGTAAACACTAAGGATGGCAGCATGCTCTCAAATTCAGTGTTCAATTCCTGTGCCAAACTGCCGGGAGCATCTGAAGCCAACAGAATACCCAGTATTTGTAATGTTCAGCAATCCCATGTTGACTACCACATTTGCATCCTCAAGCTGGGTAGTATAGTTTAGTTCTAAAATGTCCTCCAAAGGCCCATGTGTTCATGGCCTATTCTGCATAGTGGTCCTATTGGGAGGTGATGGAATTATGGACCTTAGGTCTTTCTATAATCTTTGGAAAAGATCACTCTCACTACTGTTTGGGATTATGTGACATCTGCTGTGAAAGAAAAGGCATGAATTCATATTATTCAGAGACATGCAGCTTGGCATAAAAAGTGACCACTCCTCATATGACCCCTGACTTCATAAAATACGGAAGCTTCCAGGTCACAAATTAAGATTAGAAAATCCTGGTTTTTTTCATAGGGGGTCTTTGGCAGCCATCCATATTAGACACAACCTGTAGCAGAAACTGCCATCTACCATTATACACGGCCTACTGAGGCACATATGGTTGAGGATCCCAAAATAACTTTCCATCTCCTGGTATACATAGAGCCTAATTATATATAATGTGAATACATACAAGCTAAAAAGACAACCAAGATTAAAGACAGATGCAAAAAAAATAATGCCTTTATTACTGCACAAACCTGAGCAATGTAAGGCAGTTACCACTCAGTGACTTAAAACCACAAATATCAACTACAAGTGTCATGTGAGACCAAAATCTTCCATGAAGAAGCTCAGTCTCCTCACAAACCTCCAGCTGAACCATAACTGAGTTCATTTGACCTAAATGGTATCATAACACAGCAAGAACACTCAGAAAACAGAATAAAGTTGCCCTAACAGTTCAGGCCTCTCAAGATTTCCCTCAGGGAAGGGGACAAAAGACATGCCTGCCCTGCCTGAACAAGGAAGGTGCATGATAGTGGAAGGAAATGGCATCTCTAAGACAGTGTGGCAATGTTTTCACTCTGGCCAAGGTCCCGTAGAGTCCACAATGTGCAGAGCAGCTCTTGCCATCCTCACCCATGTGTAACTCACAAGTCATTTGCAAGCGTGCAATTCAAGTTCAGACCAATGAATCCTAAGACTCTCTAGTATGGATATACTGAACAAAACCACATTCTGTTCTAGTCCAAGGCTTTATTTACCAAACAGGGAATTTCTTCTGCCAAGTAAAGCTGGACTTTGGCCTGAAAGCTTTCCCATATTTTCTGCCATAATTGGGGCTGTCTGTGTGTTGGTACTTTTGATATTAAAGGAGATGCATGTTGTGTGAAATATTTTCATCATTTGTTGCATTCATAAGGCCATTCTTATGTGAGAACCCTTTCATGTGGGCCTAGGAGAGTTCTTTGGCTAAATCCCTTGCCACACCAACCAGAATCACAGGTTTTATCTCCATGTAAAATATATGGTGATGAATAATACTTATTTTAGGTACAAAAACTTTCTTAGCTTCTTCACACTCATAAAGCCTTTCTCCAAAGTGGACTTTCTGGTGGACAGTATTGTCAACACTTTGCCTAAATCATCTTCCACATTCCCTTAAAATCATAAGGTCTTTCTCTTGTGTGTACTCACTAGTATATAGTAAGGGCATGTACTATCTTGGAAGATTTCCTAAATTCTCTGCATTCATAAGGCCTTAATTCAGTGTGGACTCTGTGGTCCTGAGCAAGTGAATATGCATAAAGAAACAATTCCTCTCACTTGCTATGTGTATATAAATATATACCTACACACACACAAACACACACACACGCACACACATTTGTTTTGGTGGTGTAGACTGTCAGGTCTCATCACTAGGAATGATAAGAAGCAACAGAAGATCAAAGCAAGCTGGAAAAAAAAAACTTCTGAAGATCCTGACATTAGAAGTAGCTCCCTAACACAAGAAATTCACAGCTCTTCCCAAATGAAATCCTATCCACATTCCTCTTCCAGGATTTCTCTCAGTGTAAGGCTTCTGGTGCTGGGGAAGGCTTACACATGCTCCAGCCTTATACAAATTCAGAACATTTGCAGTGGGCAGTGCCAACATGTCTTTGCAAACTGAGACACAGATGTCACAAAGACAAGTTTCTGGGTGGACCTGCCTGCCTTTGAAGTATTCAAGTGTGACACCACTTCCAGAGAAACACTACATAGAATCTTCATATCCTCTATTCAATGTCCATAAATGAAATCAGACAAATGATGACGAAATTCATGTAAACTATGGTTGGAGTGGGGCCAAACCCATCAAAGCAAAGGTCCGTAGAATTTGTTATTGGTATTGGGGACCAAAACAAGGGTACTACACATGGTAGGCATGTATTTTACCACTGAACTCCACCTGCAGGAGTATAGGATCAGGATGTGTTCTTTAAGTCATGTCCATGCATAAAAATTTTTCACATTCTCTACACTCATGAGGCCTTTCTCTGGTGTGGGACTCTGTGATGTAGAGTAAGAGCAGATGTTTACTTAAAGGATTTTCCACATTCTCTCTCTATATAAGGCCATTCACAGTGTGTACCATCTGGTGGACAGTAAGTTCACCTCCTCACTTAAAGGACTCCCCACATTCTCTACACTCATAAGGCCTTTTTCACTGTGAATTTTCTTGTGTTCTTTAAGTACATGTCTTTGCATAAGGAATTTCCCACATTCTCCACGCTCATAAGGCTTTTCTCCACTGTGGATTTTCCAGTGTTCAGTAACATTCCATGCATGCTTAAAAGATTTCCCACAATCTCTACACTCATAGGGCCTTTCTTCAGTGTGAACTCTGGTGTACATTAAGGGCATTTATTTGCTTAAAGGATTTCCCACATTCTCTACACTCATAAGGCCTTTCTTCAGTACGGCCTCTCTGGTGTACAGTAAGAGAATTTCTTTGCATAAAGGATTCCCACATTCTCTACACTCATAAGGCCTTTCTCCACTGTGGACTTTCTAGTGCTGACCAAGTGAGTAGTTATAATGGAAGTTTTTCTCACATTTCCTATGCTCATAAAGATTTTTTCCATTATGGACCCTCGGGTTATAAATGGCCACATTTTTATGGCTGGAAATTTTGCTGCAGTTAACCAATAACTGTAATATCTTTTTCCATGGTGAAACGTCTCCTCAAACTCAGCATTACTGGCCTCTCACCAGTAAGAATTACCTGGGGCTGCAGAAAGTCAAAAAAATCTGGTAAACCCTTCCAAAGGTCATTACAATTGAACACAAAAAAATCCACAGCTCTCCTCAAGAGAACTCTTCAAGTTCTCTGCAGTGTAATGCTTCTCGGGAAGGTTTGCACATGCTCGTCATGTACAGCTTCTGCATAAGTGGAGTAGTCAGGTGCACAATGTCTTTCAAGACTGGAGTAGAGATGTCACAGGGGTGACATATGGGTGAATTGACCTGCCTTTAGAGTCATCAAGTGTGGACACCTACTCTGTGTCCACAACCTAAAATCAGAGAAACAATGATGAAATGCACAGACACTGGTGGGATCAGGGACAAGTCATAAGATTATGAAAAGGTCCACAGGATTTTTTTTTTTTTGGAGGTGTGGGGATCAACACAGTATATGTACATAGTAAGCATGGACTGTATCACTGAAATGAAATCTGGAATGCTGTCCAGATGTAGAAGCAGGGCTTAATTTGCAGAAAGGGTTTCTTCATACAGCTGGGTCTCTAAAAACAGTAAAACCTTACAAACATCACCCGACATAAGACAGGATGAGCTGTAGGACAGGAAAGAATAGCAGGCAACCTTCAGGCACTGCCGCTTCATGGTATTATGTATGAAGTGCCAAGAAATCTCTCAAACTCACCACACAATCTTATTCAATAAAATCTTGCTAGCTGATGATAAGTGCATGCTGTGTAAAAGACTGCCTGAGTTAAGTTCTGGTAAAACAACTCAAAATGCATTTGGGCAATATTTAATGATATGTTCACTACTCAAATCATATTAGGTGTGGATCACTGTTGGAAAACATTGCAGAGGGTACAGCGGATTGCAGCTAGGTCACTAAAGACAAAAGACAGTTTCCTCATCTAATAGGAAAACAGGCCAGATGTCATGACCTCCACCAGATGCCCCTCAATTTCACTGAGCATTTCTGAGGTCACCTTTCCATGTCTATCTGATGTAGCAACCAGAATTTTTCCAGCACCCCACTTGCACAGTTTAGGACAGGTAAACAACCAACTCCTTAGTGAGAACAGCTGAGCTATCAGCAGTGACCCTGGGCAACTCAGCACATAAGAGACCTGGGGAAAGAAAAAACAGTATTACAAAGATGACTGGAAGGGGGTCTGGCAAAATAGCCCATGGGCTACATGGCTTTGGTTCATGACAATCTCTGGTGATTCTCAAATAGCTATAAAATGTCAGGAAGAAGGGGGCAGAACTAAGACATACTGACATAACCAGTCACCCAGACAGGGAAGAGGTTACCAAGGCAAGATGTATTAAGCTGTCTGCCATACATCTTCCTCCCAAATCTGTACATGTACTCATTACAGCACCTGCAGTTAGGGCTGCTCAGGGAAGAGCACATGGCTCAGCTGTACCAACCACAACACACCCATAAAAAAAAAAGTGGGTAAATTAGCACATCTCAACAACTAGCAGTGAAGAGGCAAAGCTGCTTCTGGGAAAAAGAAGATAAGCAAAGACCAGAGTATGGATGAGTGTGATTACCTTACCTATAGAGGTTACTAGTGTAAAGTTCTCCAGCATCACATGGAGGTAAAGGCACCTTTGAGGTTCACTAAGGAACTCCCATTCATCCTGGGAGAAGGATGAATGGCCACATCTTCAAGGTCACACAGGCCTGCCATGGTTAGAACAGAACATCTATGATCAACTTCTCTCCTAGAAGTGATTCCATATTGATCCAACCCATTCTCCTACATCCATCCTCTAGTACCCCATATACCACCCTCACCACCTCAGAGAGGATACCAGATCCCAGTGTTCCTGAGGCACAGTCTGTCCTCTGTGCATATTTGATCATTGTTTCCTCCAACAGCACTAACGCAGGTGATCAGGAGACATAATCTAACTCCTGGGACTGGTATACAGGGCTGTATCCACTCATGTCAGTTTAGTGCACAAATGTCCTCCAGATGGTACAGCTCAGAGATAATCAAGTGTGGACTCACATTCCAGCTTCATGTCACCAACATCAAGTCCACAGGACCAGCATTCCACATGGTCCCTCAAGTGCACATCACATTTTGGAACATAGCTTTCTTACCCACAATCCTCCACCTATTTTCACCTTCTAGACCCATAATATAGATATTTGTCTACCCTTCCTATTCACCTAAGCACAGAGCATCCACAGTGTGGTTAGTTCAAATAGAACACAGTTGTTCCCACTGCCAGGGGCAACAACACTACCCTGGAGGCTATGTTTCCTGTGTTCCTTGCATCAACCTTTGCCACTGAGAACTGTCTGATTCCCACACTCCCATGCCTCATTACTAATCGTGTACTTGAGGTCTCTCACCAGTCACAACATCCTCACCTGCCATCCTTCCTTCCCAACATTGTCCCAGTCACCTTCCTCTACAGACAAGTAGCTCTCAACTTGGACCCTAAACTTAGGCAACCTGAAACTTCTCAGAAGCATCAAGGGTTATAACAACATACTACCAAGCCTAGTATTAAGTAATAAAAGGACTATCCGTTGTTGAAGTGTAGCGGGATTCTTGAACACAGACATAGGACACCAAGGCAATTCAGCAGGAAGCAACATTTTATTGTGCCAGCACAGACTCAGCAGACTCGAGTCCAAAGGCTGAGCCCTGAGAATAAAGGGATCTCACCTTATATATATATATATACCCTTGCAAGCAGGTTACAGAAGCAAAAAGCAAGGTTTAACCCATATAAGGTTACATAAAATTCTATAGGCTACTTCACCCTAGTGCTATGTGACCTTCTAACCCCAGCACTACATGACCTTCTTCACATTTAGACTTTTTAAGTTTTATTTCTCTGCTATGCTATCCCTTTCCCCCCTGCTACATTATCAGAACACAGGTTTGCCTGCTCTTTTCTGGTCCTCCTCCCTGCTACAGAAGTGCCAAAACACAGCAGTTATTCTAAGCCTCTGATTCTATCTCATGGACCTCATCCTTTGAAAACACTGGTAACTTGCCAGGCCATCTTGTCTACCAGAATGTATCCATGACCTTGTAAGAGGTACTTAAACTTTTTTTACTGCAAAGCACTGACTCCTTACTTGGGCCCATGAATTAACTAAAAATAGAAGCTTGGCATCCTTGCCTTCATTTTGTATCTGTTTTTGCTCTAAGGCATTCTCTTTGCAGTCACTTTGCGATCACCTTGGATTCCAGAAAGGACAGAACTGGTAACATCTTTATGACAAGGGACTGAAACCTCTCACAAAGAATAGCAGAGACATGCAGGACAGACCACCCCTCCAAATGAGGACAATTACCTATAATGATGAAACTGCACCCTGGAACAGGAGTAATCATTTCATGGGAACCAGGTCACTCCCCTCAAGTGATAACATCTTCTTTGGAACCCTCTGGGAACACTTGGACTGAGATAATGGTCAATCAGAACACACCTGTGACTGGGACTTTGTATACATACCTCTGTCCCCTGCCCCAGTTCTTTTGTCTACTTAAGCCAATATTTTATGTTTATACCCTGAAGATGGCTGACGATGAGCTGAGTGCTTACTCTGTCTCTTCCCACAGCATGTCCTGAGCCATGTAATTAACTTCCTTTCTCTGCCTTCACTATGCCTCTTTATTTGGAGTTTAAGGGGTGGCATGACCTGGCATATGGAATCTCAGGAGTTTGGGCCTTGGGTCCAAAACTCCAATTTCAACCTCTTCTCTCATACACTTTTTTGGTGATGAGCTCACCCCAACCCAGGTGCTGTACTTGAAAACCAGATCAGCCTAACCTTTCAAGGCTGGTAAGAACAAAATCACTGCATGATTAGGATTCCCCTTCCTTATTGCAATCCATAGAAATACAGATATACCCCAGGGCAAACACTGGTCATCACATTTTGCATGTCTCCATCAGGAATTTTCTCCAGTTCCACACCTGTGTGGATACTGCCCTCTTCATGTTTCTGTTAATGCTTCTTTGAAACATTCACTCTCTTAAGATGGTAAAAATCCAATCTCTTGATATTGCCACTAAAATTCTTCCTACCACAGACCTTCTCTTCTCATCTGCTAAAAAACTGGAAAACTTAAATTCACCCTTGACATCTACCTTGTCTTTATCCTCCAAATCAGAAAACCTGGTATTAGCCCAATTTCCCATAAGGCCACTTTCTATGGACATGATAATGAAGTTAATCCTATATAAAGAAGAATCGACTTCCCTGTACTTCAATGTCATCATCTGTCTTCCTGGCTCTTTTAACTGGGAGCAGCTTTTGCAGAACTTTGAAAAATCTGATTGGACCATTACCTGTTCGTTCACAATACACCATGGCTTCTGGTGCACTGACAATAAAGGTAAACTGCCACAACTGATGAGCATGTTCCAAACTCCCTCAACAGGACTTTATACACAGTGGTTCCTCTACCTGTAACAGTCTCCAGCACCTCAGAAACTAGAGTTTAAATATGTGCCCTCCCACACAAGGTCCTCCCCATTTGGAACACAGGAAACTAAAATTTGGTGACAGTGGTAGGTACCTCACCAGGCCCTATGCTCAAAGCAGTTATATTGTGGGTCCCTGACTATGTAGCCCAATCCCAAGCAAGGTCCCTCTGTATGGCAACTGCAATCAGACTCTACAAGTGGGCCACTGCACTCTAGTAGTGCTGTGCTGTGCAGACAACCTCTCCTGTGGTTGTGTACAACCTTGTACTCACATCACTTATTTATGTATAAAGTAGTTCTAAAATCTGTTTAGCACACTGACCCCAAAACTGCTAAAATATCTGAAAGTACAGGGACATAAGTCCAACCTAGAACAAGCATACAATCGTGGAAACAACCCTTTTCAGACAGTTTGTTGGTGCAATCACATCACCAGGGACCAACAGCATTCTGGGTACAATATTCTGATCTGCAGTGTCCTTGCCTGAGCATAGCTGGACAGGAATCCAAGGACACTGGAACTGGCATTAGGGCCCTAAAGGATGGGACACTGTTTCTTAAAGAGGCCACAAGCAGATTTCTGGGAAGTTTTGTCTACAGGTGTGGACTGAAAAGTTTTGAGACTCATGCTAAGCAAGACTGGATGCTCAGTGAAAAATATCATTTCAGCTGCTCACTTAGACTACTGATCCAAAAGGACACATCACTTTCACATGCACAGATTCATTCAGATAGTGTGCATACCTATCTGGAAGGCAAATTAACACTATATACCAATCTTCATGCCTTATTGACTGAAGAGCTGGAGCAACACTGGGGCACTCTATATTGTTCTTTAGGAACAGGAAACAGGACTCCAGGCCAAGTAGAGGTCCTGCCCTCCAGGTTGCTCTTGAGGGTGTCACCTTTGGCTACAGTTTCAGGGCTTCAACAGGCCTATAAGAACAAATTCATATGGGTTCCTCTAACAGAAGACAAGGTTGTATGAAGGTGTGTAGAGAGTTAGAAGAGTTCAGACCTGTTCATGATTAACTGGTATCTCACAGCTAAGGATCAGTTGGGAGTTAGAAGACCAATGCTCTGGCTGTGGAAAGGCAGAACTAGCTCTAATGGTAAGTTTAATCTACAACCACTTTCTCTCCCCAGACCCCAAGTTCAATGCCTCTCTCATCCAATCCTTATCTCTCTCATTCCAAATTCTCTACCTTACAGGAGATAATAGACTCCTGTCACACTGATGCTTGCCCTCAACTAATGGTACCAATGCTCGTTGTCTTGTTCCACAGAAGCAAGGAGATAAACAGGCAAACATTATCTAAACTCAGAGCGTGGCATCCAAACTCAGAGGAGCCTCCAAAGGTATTCCACAGGGACCCAGACCACACATCTAATAAAGTCTAATGTTAGGTCACCCTTTCTGCACATCCTCAATGGGGGATCCTGGAGACATCATTCCACAGGACTCCTCCATATTCCTGTAAGTCCTTGTATCACTCTCTCACAACACCCCACATCCCTAGGCACTTCCACCCACTGCCCTCTTCTTAGGAATATCCCTGATCTTCCTACATGTAATTCAGCACCAGGCATCTAGAATACAAAGAAAATGGAAATATCTAAAATAATCCCAGTCCCCACTGCTACAAAAGATCCCATCCTGCCTGACCCTGTCCTTGCTTCAACCTCAGCCACTAAGAACTACCTATCAATCTCAAATATCCTTGGCCCTATTCCACCTCTAGTCCCCTTCATGTCCTCTCACTAGTCACAGACTTTCTCTCTCCAGTAATTCTCATCTGAAACTAGCCTGAGTGGTACTCCTCCTTCAGTTTCCTTATAACCACTGTACCCTAAACACATCCATCTGCCTTACTGAACAGCCCCACATACACTGAGGCTCACCACAAAATTATTGAGTCTGAAGTGCAGCAAAAAAGCAAAGGTCCTGGCTCAGCATCCATCACATTACTCAGTTACACCCAGACATCAACATCCACATCATGTGTGTCATCCATTTGCATCATAACCACCAACCTACCTGATCATTCTCTCCCCACACGTTTCCACGGCCACATCTGCACACCTTGTTTATGGTGCTCATTACCCACATCCAGGGGTCCTAGCTTAACAGTCCAATTCACCTGCCTTTCCTGAGCACTATAAGACTCCGCTGAATCTGGATGCCAGGCTCTGAGTTTAGATGATGTCTGTCTGTGATAAAAAAACTGTCCCTTGCCACCATTCTGCAGCCTGAGCCGCGCTGGTTTCATCCCTTGCAGAACAAAACTCCCGCCACCTTCCTTTCCCTGCCCATAGACCTTGCTTCAGCAGCTGGTCTCATTCCTTGCAGAACAAAGCCCCACTGTCCCTTATCTCCTGCCACCTCTCTTTGTCCGTCCCTAGCCCTTGCTTTCTCCCAAACGCTACGTAAGGCCAGACCCGCCGAGAAAAGCTGCTGCGCCATTTTTTCTTCTCGGCCAGCCAGCCTGCTTATTAAACTTTAGACATGAGATAACTCGTGTGAGCCTCCTTTGTGTGCGGCGTTTTCCTAACAGTCTGTACATCTTGTGCTGCAGAACAACACGGGGATCAGTGCTGCCATCAGTTCGGAACAGGCATTAGGGGTGGGAGAACCACCCACAACACCTTGGTCTTTGCAGTTTAAGAAATCTGGACGCCACGGGCTGGAGGCCTGGCTCAAGTGACCCGCGCATGGCTTGCAAACGCAAAGACCTAAGTCCAAACCTTCAGTGCAAACAAAAAAAAGGGGGGGTGGGGAGCGGGGAGCACTGGTCAGGAGTTGAGCATTTGAGTACAGACAGACGCCTCTCACGACATCCCTCAATGGACACAAAGCATGGAGTATAGAGGCTCAATCAGGAACCCCAAACCGGGTCCTGTCTGGTTTGGCGGAAATACGCGGCACTTACCTGCTCCGGGTCCCTCCGAGTGCATGGCTGTCATCTCCACGGCTGTCCCTCGGGAAAGCTCCGAGCTATGGGAACAAATCAAACACACCACGCCCTAGCTTTTCCACTCGCGTGACACTGATCCTGAGTCAACGTTTCTCCAGTCAGGTAGCTGCATAGCACCAAAATCAGACAAAATCAGCAACACAGAGATGGGTCCGGAAGTCCCACCCCAATTTGATGTTTCAAAGGCGGAAATGGAGCTATTCTGAATACTCATTGGCTCAGCCTCTTCCGTTGTTGACAGAGCTGTCTGGGTAACGTAGTTCCAACGGTTGGGTGAACCGGCGACGGGCTCTGTGGTCCTGCAATATGTGGAACAAAAACCAAGAGGCCCCTGCTGGGACACAGGGAAATGGTGTCCTCACCTTTCACCCACGGGCTTCTGGTCAGTGTGGAGTGACACCTCTTCTTTTTTTAAGAAGGGGTTTCTTGTACGATTCTAACGTTTTCCCACCTTGTAGTCCACTGGGTCCACAGGAGAAGGGCTGCCAGTGAACTGGCAGGAGGCGGGCCGGTTAGCAACCCAGGTCGGTAGCTCCTGAAGATTCCGACCAGGCCTCGATCTGTAGAAGGGATTGAACGCTGAGGGAGCCGCGTGACTCATCTCTGAAGCCCAAGGCTGGGCAGAGCACCCTGCTGGAACCCCGTGTTTTACTTCCTGAGCTGGGCACTTGGCCTATGGGGCAAAGCTGGAGACAACTTTAAGGACTCAACTTTGAGCCCACAGTTCCCGCTTTATGATCCAAGATACCACAATCCTTTCAAGGTAATCCAACACTGTTCCCCCTCCCCATCCTTCATGGTCCTGACTTTCCCCTTCCTCACTGTGCTCTCAGAGGTGCCATCTTGGCACATGGCTCCTTTGAATTTCAAGCCATTCAAAGATCTTTGGTGTACTCAAGAAAAAGAATTCAAGGACTGACATAGAGGAAACAGGAGAAAGTTTATTACTGCAAAAAAAAAAAAATAGTACACCTTTCCGATAGGAGGGGCGGCAACCCCTCTGTGGGTCCTAAAACCTCAAGTTCTGTGGACATGGCATTGGTCAGTCTGGTTAAACTGGATTATGTATTGTTGACGTCCTGAAACACAGTGGTAGGTACCCATCTCTACCTGGGACACTGAAGCAGAAGTTAAAGATAGCTAGACCACTGTTAAATTACTTTTGCTGACAAGACTTTTTGTAAGCATCTTTTCCACCCTTGAATTAAGCAGCGATGGTGAAGCTTCTGGAGATTTAACTCCCTGACAGCTAATAGACACTTCTCTAGAGCCCTGGATGCTTTACCAAATGAATGCCAGCCTGGCATCTGAATTGCTTTCATGCCAACATCAAAAACACAACTACAGCTCCAGAAGGCACTGCCCCAGCAAGAAGCCTTTAGCAAATTTCAGCTTAACAAAAAACCAACTGCCAAAACTACCCTACCACACAGGACAGGGATAGGAAAGAACTTCTACCCAACAAAAGACCTGGGATTGGTGCAAACACAATCCTTCATCTGGGTAACAGACTATACCCATTGGTGCATATGCATGGGGACTGCTGTGATTGGTAAAGATACCCTTGTCCTGTCCCCCTTTTAACTATATAAGCAGCTTGCTCAACTCACCTTGAGAACACCTGGATGATATCCTCCTTGCGGGCTCAAACCTCCCCACCCTATCACATCACATTCCAATAAGCACTTTTCCTCCAGTGGACTTGCCCGCCTTTGCTGAGGGAGAGGGAGAGAGGGAAGAAGGGGATTGAGCCTGATGGAGCAGCAGGACTTGGTGTCTGCAGACCAAGGCAGGGTGGAACTCCCTGAAGAAAGCCATGAAGTTCTGCCTTCTGAACTAGCTGTGGGCACTTACCTCTGGGGATACCAGTGGAGATGGCCTGAGGTGTCTTTTTTTTTATCACTTTGTTTTTCTTAAAACGTTTTTATTCATTTATAACAGTGTACAGGAGATTTCATTGTGTCATTTTCGCATGTACATATAATACACCCCAGTTGTTTATAGATGTCTCAATTCCCACACTTTCCTGCCCTCTGATCAGAGATGCCACAGCCCTTCCATGGTGTTCTAATACTGCTGCCCCATTCTTCAGGCATCCAACTTTCCCCTTCCTCACTGTCCCCAGAGGTACCATCTCAGATGACATGTGGCTCCTCAAACTTTAAGCATTTTTCTCTGTTACTGGATTTAGGCACCAGGTCTGGGAGCCAGAAGGTTCTTACTCTTCTTAGAAAAATATTTCAAGGACTGACAGAGTGGAGGCTTATGCTGGAGCAGGTTTATTAAAGCAAAGGCGACTGAAAGCAAGCAAAAGTGTACTTTCCACATGGAAGAGCAAGTAGGCTCAAGAAGAAGCAGCTACATGGATGATCCTAAAAGCTCAAGCTTTTATTGGGGTCTGTGGATAACTGCTGGAAAATTAGATGATACATCATTAACCTCACAAGGCTGAGTTATATGTCACCCACTTCTCCTCAATGTTGGGTGGAAGAGTTATTTGGCTTGGATAGTCAGGCCAGCACTGTTGTTTTCCGTGGGCTGTAGGGGATTAATGTCAGCAAGATCCTGTCATATATTATGAGTAACTCTGTTAATAACTGCCATCCAGGATTTGAGTCACTATCAAAATCCAAACCATCATTCTGATCCATTAGGTTTCCTAACTCCCTGCCTAACTAGGTGTGTATCATTCCCCCACTCCTGAAGGTGACCCTTGTATTCTTAAAAGAGAGGAAGATTTTTCTTCAGGAACTACTTTCTGCTGATTGGGAACATTGTCCCCAACTGAGTCTTCTTTCTCTCCTGTTGTCTATTAGGGTGACAGGTGAGATGGAGGAGGTGGAATAGATTGACATGGTGGCCTGATCTAGAGATCACAGTTGTTAATGATTTTCACCTCTGTGATATTGTCTAAAAGTACTGGTGTATCACTTTGGGTGAAACTTCTGAAACACAACAGTTGGATTTGTTGTGGGTTGCCTTTGTGGTTACTACCCATTGAAAGATGTTCCTCTCTACTTTGGCTGGAAGCAGCAGTAATCTTGTGAGAACTGATCTCCCATTCCTGCTCATTTAGATGTCCTTGTATGTCCTATAGTTGTTTCTCTGAATCAAGGTCCTGAATTATTATCCCATAGGAAAGGGTGGGGTTGTGTAGGTAACCTTGGGGGAGTACTCTGAAGATCCATTGCTGGTCATTCCAGATGAATGTGACCTGTTCCTGGGTCTCAATGCTTAATGGGATACTAAAGAAAGCAGTGGAAAGATCCAAATGGGCATGATAAGATCCCATTTAACAAAAACAATGGCGACTCTCTTAGGAGCCTATGACTGTCCCTGCCAAAGATTTTAGTCCTGGCTTACTAAACAGAAGTCCTCTCCCACGGAGGATAGATGTTCGCCAACATGATAAGCCTAGTCTTTCTCATTTTACTGTCCTAGATCCATATCCACCTATTGATGTCTATTGCCCCCTATGTCTTGGGAGATGGACATCAATTAGGATGTGTTTTACATTGGTGTCCACCATAGTTCATATGGTCTCTACATTAGTAGGGAACAACAGATTCACCATGTAATGTGGAGCCTCTAGTCACAGTGTGCAGCACTCAGTGCACACAGTGCAGGCAAGTTTGCACATCCTGCTACGGTATAGACTGGGTTGTGGGGTTTTCTGCAGCATGAATTCCTCTGCTTCCAGCACAGGGGGTACCATACATATGACACATATCTCATTTTCTCTTGCCTCTTATCTAACCTCTGGTCTCATCTCTCATCTTTCCCTTGCCTAGGTGAACTGATGTTTTAGCCTTAGAGCTTTCCTTAAACTTGCAAGTGCAAGTCCTCCCTCAACTAATGGTAGCACTGATCACTATGTTGATCCACACCAACAAGGAGATGAACAGACACATATCAACTGAACTCAGAGCCTGGCATCCAAACTCAAAAGAGTCTCATAAAACTGTTACACAGTTACACAAACCAAACCTCCCACACATAGTCAAATGGAGGAGAGGGGCACCCTTTATGTTTATGTTCTTAATGGCCAGACTCTGGGATAACATTTCACCTGACTTCTCCATATGCTTATCCTTCCCTGAAGTACACAGCCCCACATCCATAGGCACTTCATCCCCTGCTCATTTCATAGGAATCTCCTTGATCTTCCCACATGAAATTCAGCACCCAGAATCTAGAGAGAGCATAGAAAGTGGAAATATCATCCACAAATCTCCAATCCCCTGACAGTCCCCACTGCCACAGTCCCCTCATGCAATTATATTTAAGCAGGAGAGTGCAATTTTGGCCCAATGGGGGAAATGGCTTGTACATTGTTAGATATCCTAAAATCCAGTAACTCCTTCCAGTAATTAGGCATAAGATGCCCAATCATACCAATGGTGGCAAGAGTTTGAAGCCCACGAGTGTATGTGGTTTGTAAGGATAGATTGTATTTTCCCAGAGAGCACTGATAGCATAAGTTGAGCTTGTCTCTCAGGACCATAAAGACCTGTCCATATGGTTTCTCACATCATTTGTTCTGCTTTCTACAGAAGAGATCTACTTGCAGAATAATATTTTAATTTAAATTTCCCATTTTGAGGTCAGATGTCTCCATCTTCCAACTTACATTGGGGCCATGAACTATTAAAAAGAAAAATTATCTTAATTTTCTTTCATCCTTCCCCATTCAATATATTCCTTTTTTTTTTCAGTACTGGGATATAAACTCAGGACCTACATCTTGAGCCACTCCCCAGCCCTTATTTGTGAGGGTTTTTTTGAGAGAGGATCTTAAGAATTATTTGCCTGGGCTGTCTTTGAACCATGATCTTCCTGATCTCTGTCTCCTGAATAGCTAGGATTACAGGCAGAGCCACCAGCACCTGGCAATATATTCCCATTTTTAAAATGCAATCCAAGGGACAGGAATCTGTTTGATAGTGTTACCCATATTATCATGTCTTGGAGCTTGCCTACAAGAGAAAGAGAAAGGGAAAAATTGAAAATAGCTAAGAATTAATACTTCTTGGGTACTCTTTCACAGAGTTCCAGTTTCCTTAGAATGGACAACACTGGCAATGCCAATCCACAGCAAGGACATCACTGGACTCCCCA